TTTCTTCTGAAATGCAGCTGAAGCTGCTAAGATAATAGTGTTCATGTTGTTCATATTTTCCTATTTTTAATCCACAGCTTCTAGAGGAGACAGGAGATCTGCTGAGTCCCATCATTCCTTTACTTGATCAAGTTTAAGAACTGGGCACTTACTAATAACTAAATTTTGCATTTGTCTGATGCAAATGAATTAAAACAGTTATTCAAAGAGGACAAAAGTGTCATGCTGCAGTCCTTCAAATGCTGTGGATGATTGTGGAAGACTCAAATGTTGAGAAACCACCCTGAAAAAGAGTGCAAGGTGATCAGAACTTAGCACAGAGTGAAAATCAGACTCTCACTGCTCAGCAAATTACACTGCAAGCAGATGGAAGTCTTGGACATACCTTCAGAAATTTATCACAGAAGAGTAAAGTGTCCTTCATATGTGCCTGCTTGGCCTCTCTGGGCTTCTCAGTGAGGAATAATGAAGAAAGCTTTTTCCCAACTAATTTTATCTATTACAAAGTCAAAAAGTCAGCAGGAATCATGCAAGGGTCCTGCTGAAGTCCTCTACGGGGCTCTAACACTGCATATAAAAAATAAAAAAAAAAAATAAAAAAAATAAAAAATAAAAAATAAAAAAAAAAAAAAAAAAAAAAAAAAAAAAAAAAAAAAAAAAAAAAAAAAAAAAAAAAAAAAAAAAAAAAAAAAAAAAAAAAAAAAAAAAAAAAAAAAAAAAAAAAAAAAAAAAAAAAAAAAAAAAAAAAAAAAAAAAAAAAAAAAAAAAACAAACAAAAAAAAACCCTGGAGTTTCATGCTGGCACAACTCCCACCGTTTTCTCCAGAGAAACATTAGTGAATTTATCTAATCAGCTTTGTTTCCTGAGTTAAACACTCCTCGTGAGAAGGAGCACCAGGAGGAGTCTATTAATCAAAATCAGTGGAAGCATTGGCTCAGGGTTCTCCTCTCTCCTCTAGTGTGATTTGAGCTTTTTTTTTAACTTTAATCTGGGAGTTGAGTGGGTTGGGGGCTGCCCGTTTATGTGCTGGTTTATGCGTTATCTTTGTGCGCTTTTTAATCAACAATGCAGCGATTAATCTTATGTAGAGATGCCTCTGAATTAAAATCCTGAAAATCTGTTATGGTCTCCCCAATCTCTCCAGAGAAAAAGCCCTAAATAAAAATGTATCTTTCATAAATGAATTTTATTCTCCACAAGAATCAGACTTAGTTAGATTGTGCACTTTCAGTCCACGTGTCTTATTGCATTGATTTCAGTGTTAAAATCTACTCCAATGCAAAGGCAGTACTGGTGACACCTCCATCTCCAGCACCCACCCTGTGCACTAAAAAGCCACTGAAAGGTTTGCAATGACAAATGTTCAGAGGCTGCTGGAGAATGTCACCGGTGCTGGTGGTACTCTGTGTGACCCCTGCCCATGGTACCTGCCGAGGTCAAAGGGATTTGTCAGGAGCTGAGAAAACCTTCCCACTAAGACCATTGTCCACATGGAAGTGGAAAAAGCAGGAAAAGCTGCAAGAATGCAGCACGTGCCAAGGCAAGCAAGGTGTGTTGACACAAAGCCTTAGCTGGGCAGCAGGATGAAATGACCTGTCCCACCACATGTGCAGCCAAGGTCACCAACACTCCTTGACTTTGGCATAACCTGCACCTCTGACAAAGATTTTTCCCTCCCAGGGGTGGACTGAGGCTTCCAGAGGCCGGATGGTGAATCCTCATCCCAAGGCAACTCTCCTCTGGGACTGGAAAGCCAGACCCACCCAAAACTCAGTTTTGTCCAAAGAAGGTGGCTGCAGAGGGAAGGTTTCCACTTTAGCAGTAAATTAACCCTAAACAGGGGGAACCTGCCTTCAGGGTGTGTTATCACAGATGTGATTCACTTCCCCTGGGATTTGCCCTTTCCTCTAATCGTTCTTTGGCATGCAAAAATACCTTTCACTTCAGAACTTCCTGGACTTCCACTTGTGGCAGGGTACTGGTCATGGCCAGCACCTGACTGTAGGAAACAAAAAGGGGTTCAGCAAAAAAACAGGATTTTCTGTCTAAGAAATCTACTAAAAGTGCAGAAGGTATATTTAAAAAATAACAAATATATTACTATGTCATGGGGAAAAAAAAAAAAGAGCTCTATGTTGTGAGTTTACACACAGTAGTGATTCCTTTCTTTCGAGGAAGAGGAAATACAAAGAAGATCAGAAGCTGATGGCATGAGAATAGGCTGTGAACAATGGCCTCTCTCTCCCTTTCTCCAAACCAAATTATTTGTATGAGAAAAACATAAATAGGAGAAAGGCAGTCAGCCCTAATTTGTTCCTTCAAAAGTACCTCAGTGAAATTCCCTGGATTATAACCCCTGCAAGGGATGATGAGGGAAGAGCTGCAAGGGCAGATGAAACAGGGGGATGTCTCAGATGAGTCAGAGTTTCTCACCCGTCAGAGACATGTCCTCCAGCCTTGGCTGGAAATAGAAACAACTGTTCTTCTCTTTCTAGCTGTCTCTTTTGCCTGTGTTTGTCTCCCCCTCTCCTTGCTTTTAAAGGTATCTGCTGAAGTCGAGGCCTCTTTCCAGACTCCACATCAGCACTGTGGTGTCGGAGCATCTTTCCCAGCCCTGTGCGTGCTTCCCAAGGACAGTGCCTCGCTGCCCTCCGGTGGCAGCAGCCCCCAGAACAGCCTCATTTTCCCTCTGCTTTTAGCCCCGTTCAGCCCCAGACCCTTGTGGAAATTATACCACTCGTTTTCCATAAAAATGAGACGTTTAAACGCTTTTGGTGGGCTCACTTCTATTTGTAAATGCTGGAGGAGCTGCAGAGCAGGGTGCACAAACGTGTACCTCTGTCTGTGTGTGCACACTTCGTACAGGCTATTTCCCAAATATTCAGATGCTGCATTTCACAATAAAAAATAGACACTGAAATTTATATGTAGACAGAAAGAGCTGAAAAAAAGAGAGCTATTTGCAGAGAAAAGCAGTTTTGTAAGTGCAACAGAACTTCACTCCATGAAGAAAGATTAACACCCAACCACCAGCATAAAGTTACTTCATGACAGACAAACGCTGCTTGTTTTCCGTGAGCAGATTTTGATGGATTTCTCTAAGATGTTCTGGGAAACAGCTTTGCTCTTCCAAGACCACAAAGGTCAGCCCTACTGTCATCACTGCTGGTTCCTGCCACGCAGGATTTGTCTGCTTGCTTACCTTTGGACTGACATCTTACCCCTTCCTTTCTAGTCATAGAATTATACAATTATTTGAGTTGAAAGGGCTCTTGAAGCTCCTGTAGCTCTGACTCCTTTGGGGCCTGCTTCATAAAAGAGGCTGAGGAACGCTGAAAAAGCAAATATTGATGCTGCTTCTTATTCAAGATACTTGCATTCAGTCATATTCCCCAGATCTTCTCTTCCTGTATCGAGGCTTTGTTTGTGAATAGATTGGCTGCCTACAACAAGATAATGTGAATTACTTCCCCACTTTCCATTAACATCCATTCTCCTGCTGCCAGGGATATCTTGGGCAAGTAACTTTACTGTTGAGCACACTTTTGGCTGAGTCAGCAGAGAGGCACAGCTATTTCCACAGGAATCTACCCTTCCTAGGGAGAATATTATTCCAAGGAAATTACTACCTACCACAATGTTCCAGCCCAGCTTAGAGCCATATGGAGAAAAATATATTGATGAAAATCTACCATAAACCCTCTGAGTCACTGCAGGAAATTACGCTGAATTCAAACAATATACGAGCAAAGAAGTGGGAATTCAAGAAAAGTGCTCATGGAAAGAAAGAATTGGTGTTCACTTTTAATTCAGAAAAGAAAATTTAGTTCTGTTTTTTTACTGTAGATGAGACTCATCTCCTACCTGACAGTACAGAGTGAGGCAGAGCAGGAGGCATCCTCAGGGGTATCAGAGGCCATGGTGGTGCTGACACCACCCTCTAATGCCAGGGAGAAGATTGAGTGGCTGGAGGGATCCTGCTGCATCCAGGGGTTTGATAGAGGACAATCTTATCCAGGTAAATTGGATGGCCTTCCTGGGTAGGATTCCCTTTTTCTGTACAAGTCACCTAATCTGAAAAGATGCCATGAAAACGGGTGGCAAAGTATACCCAGCGTGGCCTAGTGTGCATTTCCTCTCCATGATGACTTTATTTCATGCATTCTCCTAGTCCTTTATTCATTTGTATTTATAATGGCATCACAATATCTTCTGCCTCATATCTTTTGATAACATATCCCTGGACAGCAGCATAGAACCTTGTTACTAGTGAAAAATCTGTTGATAGCACCTTCTAGCCCTGTCTTGTTCCATTTTCTTTGGTTGCTGTAGTTCTTCTTACCCAACCTTACCTTGGCCAGTATCTCTAACACCTGTTTTATTGGTCTGGGGGCTAAAAGTGACCTCTGGGAGAGAACTGCAGATCTGAACCACACTGAAGGGATCCACTCCCAGGTTAAAGAGGAGTCAGAAAAGTAGGAAAAAAAACATAGAAACCGCTTCTTACAGCAGCAATTTGTGGCACACAAAGAGAACTTGTTTGAGACTTCCCTGACATTTTTAGGGTGCTAATCCTTTGGCACAATTCTCGCACCAATTTAAGCTGGTTTAGTATGGTGGTAAACTGGAAACTGTCTTAATGGGTAGCACGAGAGTCCTTACCAAACAGCCTAATCTCCAAAAGCAAATCACAGCTTCCTGGAACAACCACATCATCAGCACAGGGCCACGGAGGTGCCTGGGGAGTGTTTGGGAAGGTCCCCGTAGCCAGTCCGGAGCAGCTCCGTCATCTGGATCTCCTCATCCGGCTGTCTGGATGTACCCTGAGAAACGAAAATACCCAGTAAATCACTTCCTTGGCACCGCTCTGGAAGTTCAGGAGGAGAGATCAAGTTGCACAACACACACACACACACACACCCCCCTTTGATGCAGCCCAGAGCCCATTTAGTATAAATTTGGAGGCTGAGCTGGGTCGGACCAGACCACCACCAGCACAATGGACCCTCAGGTGCGTCTCACCTGGCTGCTTCTGCTGAGCATCACCCTTCTCTTTGGACCAGGTACTGCCTCTACTTTTTTTTTTTCATGCTTGCAGGGCAATGTCACAGAGAGAATCATTTACTAATACAGGCTGGCTTGCTGGGAAGCATGGCAAAGATTCTCCTAGAATATCGCTGGTGAGCCATGTACCATAGAACTGATGGTTCCATTTGACTTCTAATTTAAAGATTCAGTCCAAATACATAGATTATATTCAAAAATACATGTATTTGAAAATGCAAAATATAATACATATCACATATAATAGCATAATATATTATATACAACATTTATGATATTATATTAAGATATGGTTTTAAAAAATATAACCTATGAAGGTGATGGACTGAGGAAGGATGAAGAATATTTCTTTGTCTCTCCTCTGTGATGAGAATAGTTTGTGGAAGTTGTTCTCTAATCATTCACCTTCTAATATCCTAGCTTTAATTAAATTTCTTCTGCACTGTGCATTTTCAAATTTAGAGAAAGAGAGAAAAAGAAACACAGAGCAGTCTGCCAGACCCAGATGGAAATATATTCTACTGCAGTGACATCTTCCTTTAAACTTCAAACAATAACCCCAAACCTCCCCTACAACATTGTTAGTTTAAATGAGATACTTTGAGCTTTAATTATCAGCCTGAGCACCAAGAAAAAAAGTCTTGCCAATTCCTTACAAAAAGAGGTAATTCCACGGAATTTGTGGATTAAGTGCTGGCTATAATGAATTATTCAAAAAAACAAGAGCAAAGACAGCCCAGAGGGAAGGTCAGCATCAGAGAGTACAAAGCTGCATTTCAAGAATGTGATCAAATCCCAACCCTTCAATAATAATATAATCTTGGTCCTTATTCCATAGGTTCCTTTCTGTCTTTGATTTGACCTTACGTAGACTGATTAATTTTGACTGGAAAAACCCCTTAGGATCCTGTCTTGCAAACCTAAGACTTTAGTATCACCAAAATAAAGTCTGTGAAAGTGAGTGTCTGGAGGTCAAACGCCAATTTGAATAGAAAGTAAAAAAATCCCCAAGTGAAATTTCCCCTGATTTTAGTGAATGAATCAGGCACAGCTTTTCAGAACATGCCAATTCTGAAAGAGCAAGTATATTATTCTTAAAAGCTGCTGTTTAAAAACATTGCTCTGACCCCTGGCAGCCTAAATCCTTTTTTCCTTTCATGGATACTACTAGGGTTTCTAAGGTATTTATGTGACTAGGGCTACAGATTATCAAATCCACACATCTGATTACCAAATCAGACCACAGGTTTGTATCCTCTTCTGGGAGACCATTTCATCCTCTGGTATCTGAACCATGATGCCACGGACTGGTTTAATCAACCATGCATTTTATTCTATAATATACTATATTATATAGAATAGTCTTCACTGCAGAGTTAGGCAAATCTGGGTTTCACAGGCAGACCTGAGCAGGCATTTGCAGAGATTTAAGCTATAATGTGCTGTCAGACAAATCAATGTCACATTCTGCACTGAGAGATGGTCCACAGCCTGCCCTGCTCCTGCAGCAATCACATATGGCAAAGGTAAAAACCTTTCCTGCTGCCCCAGCGAATTTTGGCAGAGCTCAGCCCCCAGAAGCCCTTTAGAGGCCTTTCACAATTTACACGATTCTGTAACTCTGTGTCAACACCCAGCAGGCACCACCTCACAGCAAAACATAAAACACACGTGGAATTGTGATGCGTTACTTCAGCGCCAATCTGTTCTCTTCTCTACCATAGCAAGTGGCACATGGTTTTTCCGACCACCTGGAGAGCACAAATCGCCATGGGACAAAGTTTCAGACTGGTTTAAAGACAAATTTAAACCCAAAGGTAAGAGGGTGAGGTGTAAGAGGGCAAGATGGGCGTGAATGCATTGGGCAGATCCTCAGAGCTCCCTGGGCGAGCTGGGAACCTCCCAGCGACAACCGACCGAGGCAGGCCCTGCACACAGCAGAGCCACAGAGAACAGACATAAATAAACAAACTGAGATTCACCTGTCGAATTTTGCTTCAGGTCCACAGCCACCACAGCTGCAGCTGGTGGCCGGGCGGCACCGATGCGCCGGCAGGGTGGAAGTTCTCCACGGCGGCAGATGGGGCGCGGTCTGCGACGATTATTTCAACATGAACGCCGCCAACGTCGTGTGCAGGCAGCTGAACTGTGGAGAAGCTCTCTCTTTCCTGGGACTGTCCTACTTTGGCTCCAGTAGGAAAGGCATCCAGCTGGATGACGTGCGGTGCAAGGGGACGGAGTCTCACCTGTGGGACTGCCCGCACGCCGGCTGGGGCAGGCACAACTGCGGGCACGACGAGCACGTTGGTGTCATCTGCTCAGGTGAATAGAGAAGTCATGCACTCCTAAAAACCCCTTTGGACCTTCCTGTTGGCAATAAAAGCGTGAAACATCCGAGTAGAGCCTGGAAATCAGACTAGGAAATCAGAAATGTGAGTGTGGAGGCTCACTGCGGGATCGAGGAAAAGAAGGGTGTCCTGGACAACATACCAGGATTGGTAGCAGCAAGCACTGGGTATGAAAACGGTGAAAAGCAGGTACTTCAGGACCACTTTAGTCAACATCTGATCACAGCCCACTCCCAAGAAAAGAAAGGCAGACAGTTAGGAAAAGGTGGAGGCACATCCAGGTTATGAACCAGGCATGTTTGGTTGGAAATAAAAATAACTCTTGTCACAAACATAACCAAAATCAAAGATTGCACCATTAGGAGCAGCCTATTTTGGAGCACTATAAATAACTGCACAAGAAAGCAAATTTTTGCCTTTTTTTGTTGTTCACAGGTGCGATACACTCCACGGCTGCACCCTCAGGTAAGGCAAGGCTTTCGAGACGTGAGCCCAGCAGCTCTTCACAGACACTAATTTTTAGCTCAGAAAAGTCATGTGATTACACCTCCCCAGAAGACAGTTTTCTGGAAAGGCTCATTGTCTGAATTATCAGTTATTGCTTCAAATTACCACTTATTCATCTACTGCAACATTATTTCTGTTCTTTGCATCCCTAATACAAATTGTATTTGCCATTTATCTACTAATAATTAGGGAAAACACAAGGCAAGTCTTAACACTTCAGGCCTAAGTTTCTGACTCCTTTTTTTTTTTTTTTTTTTTTTACCTGTTCCTGAAATAATCATAGCACCTTGGGAAATCCTAAAGTACAGATTAATTGCCAGGAATCTCAATTTACCAAAAGCAAAGGTCTGGTGCATTAACCTGGTGCTGCACAAAACCTGCCATTTAAATTATTTCACCAGTGTCTCAGTTCTCATGACTGTTCTTTCACCTCTCTAAAAATTTATTTCCTCTCACTTCCAGCACCCTCAACAAAGGCCCAAACTTCCACTTCTACATCTACAACACTTGCCACAGAGAGCCCTGCTGTGACATCTGCCACAGAACCCCCAACTTCTGCTGACAAAGGTGAGGCTAAAAAACAAACTGCAAATGTCACGTGTGGAATTTTTGAGCAATATTTGAAATTTGTTTAGAGGCGTCAGGAGGAATGCATTGGGAATACAGTAAAAACATTGAATTAAATATTAACTGAAGGTGAAAATCTTTTTTTTTTGGTCATCAAAAATAAAAGGCTGTGCAATGACTCACTGTCCTGCAAAGCCCAAATCTACTTACCTTCATCAAGACTTCCATTCACGTGTTCACTCCTAATTCCTGCCAATCTCTACCCTTTTGTTTCCTCAACTGCCCTCAGCTGTGTCTTCTGCATCCACTGCTGTCCCAGAGGAAGTTGCCACATCCCCTCCTGAAATCCCAACCACAGTTTATGAAGGTAAGAACAACTATTTAGCAAGTGCTATTTAAGACAAATATCGTGATAATTTGGGGTTTTTCAGCTGAATTAAGATGTAAATCTGTGAATAGTCACAGCAGAATAAATAAAACGTCTTTGTGAAGGAACAACCCCCCTTACAACACCTTCACTTGACAAATATTGGCTGCCAAGACATAGCAAGGATATGCTGCTTACACCTCTGAGCTCGTAGGTATAAATAACACACAAATTTACAAAGCAAAGCTGCCCAGATCATTGTAATTTTGTGCGTTCAACATTCCTAAAAACTCCAGAAATGTTAAGGAGCACAGCCAGGCATTTGCAGTCATGTTCCTCAGCTGGGAGATGAGTTATTTGGCAGACTGATAATCACGGAATGGTTTGAGCTGGAAGGGACTTTAAAGATCATTTAGTTCCAACCCCCAGCCACGGGCAGGAATGTCACCCACTAGATCAGTTTTTTATCCAGCCTGAGACCTAAAGCAAGTCACAAGCTCTCCAAATCGTTCTTTTGCTTTTAATTGCTGCTTACAGCCGTTTAATTTCTCACCCTTCCAGCCTCCCCTGCCAGCACAGCTGCCTCCCTCCCTTCCACTGCCGTCACAGAGGGAAACAAGACATCAGAAATCCTGACCACGCTGCAGACAGGTACAGGGCATTTGTGCAACCTGCAGCACGTTAGAAAAACGTGGTTACAAGTTTCCCTTAGGGGGAGACATCAGTGGAGGTGCCAAGAGTCGCAAAATCAGCATCTCTCAGTTCAGGTGATGTTTGTCCCAGAACGTGCTGGATTTCTCTGGCAGGGAGGGCAGGCTTCCACCACCCAGGGGGGAGCTGTGAGTGTTGCATGCAGAGCCTGCCCCGAGGGAAGCTGGATGTTGCACAGTTGGAACCATGGAATCTGAAGGAAATCATTATTTTTGTTTTTATTCCTTTATGAAAGATGACTCAGGGGAAAAAAAGCCACTCAGACTACGTTGCTCACTGTTTGTAAACTTACCTGTCTGGGTTCTAAACAATCCATAAGCCTGCAGACTTGGGCTTTCTTATTAAATCCCCTCAGGCTGACAAAACACACCCTGTTTGCGGTGTTGGGACATTATATACCAATCAGTGTTACTGCCAAGTTAAAACATTCATTTTTACTTTTGCCTCTCACTCTCTTTTCGCTTTTCTCACTCTTGGTGAAAGAAGTCAGAAACTATTTCGATGCTTGAAATGCAAAGCATTAACACGAACATTTCTGAGGTGGCAGTGGATGTGAAAGACAAGTAACACACGGGCTCCCTTTTCCAGAAAGTCTGAAGGCAATTAAATCCATCCAGAGCTGATTTCAGTCATTCAGCCTTACCTGCATCTCTTTGTCTCTTGTTTCCGTGTTTCTTCCTCTTTCTCACAACCTCTGAAATTACTCCAGAATCAAACTTTTCACCTGTCCCCCTTACAGATGGCAGTACCTCAGCTCCTAAAATCCTTTCCACAGTTGCTGAAGGTAAGATACAGACACTGTGCCATAAAATCTAATAACAGTAGTGCTTGAGTTTGTTAAAAATAATTATATTGGTGGGATTAAAATAACTGCGTGAAGATTAAAATCAGTCAACTGCTAATTCATCTTCTCAGTGAAGAAAAATCCAGCTTATAGTCAATATTAACAAAATGCCACCTCACTTGAGTAAAGATTTACTAGAAGTTTTGACTCAAATTATCAGATTTCAGAGGCTACAATCCAAGTCACTTTTCCTTCGAGGGCATAATGAAAATCATCTCAGCAATCATCAGCTCCAGTTTCTATCGCTGATCGATGTTTTTCTCCAATAATGTATTTCCTCAATACTTTCACAGTCACTGCAACATCCCTGAACTCCTCCTCTGCATCCACTTCAGTAAATGAAGAGGCTGAGGCAGCATCTACACCAGGAGTCCAAAGCACAGCTTCTGAAGGCAAAGCTAGAGTGGCAAGAGACACTTGGAGCCAAAGTAAGCTAAGGAAAAGCCATACTCTATGGAAAAAGTATGAAATTAAATTTAATACAGGGGGCTAAGAACATATTGCTTTATTCTCCAGTAGCCAAGAGGCTTCAAAATCCAACTTTTACACATTTATATTCATTGTGGTGTTATGTGTCGATGGAGACTTCACACATTTCTTTAGCAAAACGACAAGTCCAGATACTTTAATCCAAATTTAATACTGGTTCATATCCATGCTGGTCATTATTGCTCGTTGTTCCTACTGGTTTTTTTCTTCCAAACCTCAAGAGGTTGTTTTGTCACAGGAATACAGGCTTTGGTGGCAGCTGCCCGAGCTAACGCCAAAGCTGTGGCACCAACAACCCCAGCACCGCTGCCTACACTGACTGAAGGTAAGGACCAGCCAGGTACAACCTCTGTGCTTTAGGAGCAGAAATATCTCTGTCCTCATCACTGTGCAACGCACCCTTTGGGGCTCAGAAAGTCCCTGAACCTGCCAAGGGGTGCCAAAGAGACAGTCCTGGGCATAGCTCGTTGTGCTTGTCCCATTCTCGTGCTCCTCATCAGCACCTCTTAGTGGTGCTCACTTTGGGGGGAAAATCAAATTTGGATTGGGAAAATCCAGAGCTTGGGTCCAGCCCTTCCTCAGTGCTGACGCTGCTGCAAAGTCCCACCTTTCCCCATTCTCTTTGCTGGGGCAGATCTTTCTCTGGCATCTATTTCACAACACACCTCGAGAGTTTTTAATGAAAGGGCTGCTTTAACAAATTTATGAAATAACTTCTTAGGTATTAAAAAAAAAAAATCTTTAAAAAACCCTCAAAATTTCACCAGACAGGGCCATTTTTTCATCAGCCATCAGCTGAGCTGGTACCTTCCTATCCCCCACATGGTGTCCTACCTCCTGTTCCAGTGAAGGAGAAATTGATAGTATTAGGACCTTTAAACCCCTATGCAAACCTCCCCCAGAGAGATGACTCTGTACTTTTCCTCTGAACCTGATAGGTATTTTTTAATTGATTTTGAAAAGCTGCAAATATATAAATTATTTTCCTTTATTAATTTGCTGAAAGGGAAAAGTTTGCAGTTCAGCTGCCTGTAGACACCCCACGATAATACACTAAAGATTCTTGAGACTGCAACCCAATCAGTCCTTTATTTTCTGAAAAAAGTGCCCACGAAAATTTTAGATTGATGATCATATTTCAGATTAATTAAAGACTTCATTTACTTATGAACTTCATAGGTGCTTCCTTCCCATTAAGTCACTCTAAATATCAGCTGAATAACGACAAATTAATTTCTGCCTGTAATTCAAGTCAAGATCTGAATCTGAATAGAGAATTTTTAATCTGCCTCTTTCTCCCTATTCCCACCTGGATTTACACAGCTAATCTAATCCTAAAGTAGTCCTAAACTTCCTGTTTAACTCCTTTCACCATCACCAGGCAAATACTCAGTACCTGGATCAACAGGTTAATTAGCTTTTTTTTTTTTTAATTATCTGTTTTTCTCCCTGAACTTGTGTTTGGTATTCTTGTGGAAGTTTAGACCTAGATCTTGGGAAGTGAGCCAAGCACACTGCTGCTGGCAGTTCTTCACAGCCAGCTTTTGCAGAAGTAAATGCTTGGCCTGGTACTCAGATGGAAGGAGCTTTGATCACGGACAGCAAAATGGAATTAAGGACAAGGAGTCCCAGGAAATATGGCTCTCATCCAGAATGGATGTGCATTAGTTGGTGACAAATGGCTGCCAGGTGACAGCAAAATGTCCCCAAGTGAAAACCTCATAATTGCTGACCCACCAAGGAGTAAGACAGGTGTGTGTACTTGGTGCAGTTTATGATGGCCACAAACCAGGAGGGACTCAATTACGGTGTTGGCAGCGTCTCTGATTTCTCTCTCTGAAAGAAAAATACACTCCAGGCCCATAAAACTAATTTGGAACTTCGGGTTTCTAAAAGCCTTTCCCTCTGAAAGGGAGATAAATGTGTGGAGTGTTCTGTAAGTACCCAGCTCTCAGAAATGAGCGTGGTCTGAAGAAATAGCTCTGCCACGGTTCTGGGGAAATGGTGCTGTGCCAGCCATCTGTTATGCCAGAGGGTCAGAAAGGATGGGGAAAGAGGCTGAACCAGGCACTGTTTAAAGGATGGAAAAAACCAAACCCAAACCATATCCCTTAGATTGCAGAGTATCCCAGGAAAAGGCTGGACATTTGTCCTTTAGGCAGCACTGTGGGGTAGATGATGGTAAAGAAAAGGGGGGAAAGGTGACTGGCTGCACTGGAGAGGAGCGTTTTCCCCAGAGATCAGCACACTGGGAAAGGACCCTGCCAGTGCCCACAGGGTGTAAAAGCTGGGTTGGAGAATTTGTAATAACTGTCCTAGAGCAGCACTGAAATTCCAGGGAGGAACCACAGCGTGGGCTGACTGTTCCTGCCTCCTCTGGGGTGACCCTTGGCCCAAGAGCAGCTGTGCCACCACCTTGGGAACACACCACTGATACATGACACGGGCTCTTCCTCCGCAGCTCTTCCTCCTGCTCTGTCCCTGCGCCTGGCAGGTGGTGACGAGTGCTCCGGCCGCGTGGAACTCTTCTACAACGGGAGCTGGGGGACGGTCTGCGACGATTCCTGGGATCTGGAGGACGCCCAGGTGGTGTGCAGGAGCCTGGGGTGTGGAGAAGCCCTGCTGGCTCTGTCTGAAGCCCAGTTTGGCCCAGGCTCTGGGAGCATCCTGCTCGATGACGTGCAGTGCAGAGGGGACGAAGAGAACCTGCTGCAGTGCTCAAACGCAGGGATCGGTGTCCATAAATGCCAGCACAAAGAGGATGCCAGTGTCATCTGTGCAGGTACACTGCCACCTCTAAGTTAGATATCAGGACAAGGTTCTTCCCCCAGAGGGTGTTTGGGCACTGAACAGGCTCCCCAGGGCAGTGGTCGTGGCCACAAGGCTGACAGAGGTGAAGAAGAGTTTGGACAACAGTTTCAGGCACGTGGTGGGATTGTTGGGGTGTCCTCGGGAGGGCCAGGAGTTGGATTTCAATGATCCTTCTGAGTCTTTTCCAACTCAGAGTATTCTATGTTCTCTCATAAGCTTTTGCCTACTAAGCAATTAAAGCATTCTTGCTACTAAGATTTTTATGAACAACTTGTTTCCACCAGTGGAATCCTTTCAGGCATGAAGCCAAGCCCTGTGAGAATTGCTGGGGTTTACCTCATTTTTTACACTTTCTGTTGACTCATGCAGTTTATTCTCACAGCTTTGCTTTTTTAAATTTTAATCCTCAAGTCCTTTGTCTACCTGGAATATAGTTGTCAATCTTATCTGATGCCACTTCCTACTCTGTTACCTGTCTGCTTTATGGATGGTTATTTGATTCTTAATTTTACATCACCACTGGTGTATCTCAGTCCTCCTACCCCTGATTTCCCATAAATTATATACTATGACTAGATGAAAAAATTCGCTTTTCTTGTAGTTAGTGGGAATTATTTTTAGTAACTTCCTTTAGGATTTCTCCAAATCCACTCCCAGTTTTCCAGCAGTTCTGTATTCTGGCTGGAAACACGTGCAGTTGGAGAACACAAGTCACCACAGCCCCTGTGTGGTCAGAGCCATGGCAAGTTGTGGTCCATGGACAGATCTCATCCAGGTGAAAACAGGCGCCCCATGAACCTGGGATGAGGGAGGTGTGACACAGCTGGCTGAACTGGCCCCCCAAAAATTACCACACCTAAACAAAAAATTAAAGGTTTCCCCCACAAGGTAACTGCAACCATTACCACCTGACATTTGAGACAGGGTTTGCCACCTTATCCCTTTTGGTGATGACGCTCAGGGTTGATCTACATCCCTACTGCTGTCTTGCTCTTCACATAGCAACTGAAACTCTCTATCAAGCATCCTCTGTAGTAAAACTAGAAATTCACTTTTCTTTTTTCTTCCCTAGAGCCACCTACTCCCACTCCAGCCGCGACACAGCCCACTCCAGCCGGTGAGTTCTCCCTGTGTGGGTCTTGCGGAGCTTCCACAGTTGACGTATTTTATGAAGCATTTATGGCCAGTGTGCTGTGCAGAGGGGACGAGTCCTCCCTGGAGCAGTGCTCTCACAGGGGGCTGGGCATTGCACACAAAAAAAAAAAAATACACTGGTGTTATCACACATGCACACAGTGTTTAAATTCCACCTTCTCTTTCCCACAGCAACACTCTCTCCCAGTGCAGCACCAGCAGACACTACTGCTGGTAAGTCCTGCAGTGTTATTCTGTCTTATATGCTACGTGTCTCATGGCAAAAAAATATGCACTTAAAATGCATGCAGTATTTAATTTAGTCTTTCCTTTCTCACAGCAATAGTCTCCACTGCTGCTGTGCCTGCAGAAGTTAGCACTTGTAAGTAGAATAGCGTTACTGTGGCTTACATGCTGTGAGTCTCAGGGAAAAAAATATACATTTAGTATGAACATAAAATTTAATGTCACCTCTTCTTTCTGACAGCAACAGTCTCTCCTACGGCTCCACCCACAGATGCTCTTGCTTGTAAGTAATCCAGTGCTACTCCAGCTTAACATGTTACAGGTCTCAGAGCAAAGGTATTTCTTAAAAGGCAGACAGTACTTAATTTCACCTTTTTTTTCTGTGTTAAGTAATATAACATTACTCTCTGGCTTATATACTGTGGGTCTTGGTGAAAAAAAAAATCCATTTAAAATGCAAATTTAATTTCATCTTTCCTTTCTCACAGCAACAGTCTCTCCTACTGCTGCACCAGCAGATGCTACTGCTTGTGAGTAATAGTGTTTCTCTGGCTTACTTACTGCAGGTCTCAGACCAAAAGCACACATTCAAAATGCAGACAATATCTAATTTCACCTTTTCTTTCTCTTCACAGCAACAGTCTCTCCTACTGCTGCACCAGCAAACATCACCACTTGTGAGTAGTACAGTGTTACTCTGGCTTACATCTTTAGTTGTTTACCCATGCCCTGATCATGTATGGACTGTCTCCCTGTGTATAATATCATGGGGTCACTTTTCCAGTGCTGGGAAAACAGTTTTTAACCTGCAGTTTTGTTTTCTCTCACGTCTCCACAATCAGCCCCTGCAGGAAACACAACACCTGGAGCAGCAGGTATGTTATGGCTCTGGCACACTGGTCAGAACTTCAGGATCAAGCACGATCCAGGGAGTGAACTGCTGCCCTTCCCACTGGCAGTCCTTGCTTTGCAAGGAACAGCTACTGAAGTGTGGCTTTTGTTTTCTCTTTGGCAGCCACGACCGAGTCCACCACAGCTGAAAAACCAGGTATTTATTTCTTCAGCTGTGGTGAGAGGTTTGTTATTTTTCGTATGAATCATCAATGTATTGGGAACATGGACAACGTTTAACTCCATATTTTCCCTTCTCACAGTGACAAGCTCAGCTGCACCATCAGCCTCTCCAGCTGCTGGAACAACAACAGCCATTACCACCAGTAAGTAATGCATATTTACTCTGATTTTATATCCCTAGTCCTCCATCAAAGCTGTGATCTGATGATGTGCTGGCATGGCTCCCTGTCTCCACTGTGCACAACTCAGGGATCTAGTATTTAATTTTCAGGATAATTCTCTTGGCTTCCACACAAGTCAGGGGATGGAAAATGCTGTTGATAATGATAGAGGAGAAATACCTGTTGGGATGAAAGTACTGAGGAAGGGGAATTCACTGGGGTAGACACACTAAACCAATATAAATTTGCTCTAGATCATCTCACTGGTAGAAAGTCATCCTCCCTGCATTTTTAAAGTTGCTTCAAAGTTGATTCAGCGGGAATCCTTTTGACATACTCAAAAGGATTCCCACTCAAATACAGTGGTATTTGGTTTGAACTTGTTTTCTACAAGTTTATCTTTTGAAAAAAAAGTCAAATTGCAAATTCCACTCATTAACTGGTAACATTCTGCTTCAGATGCTTAGAGAGCAGCCCAAGGGTTTCTTTTAAAGTCTGACCCTATCAGCTACCCCTTGGTAAAGGACACTCAGTTGCCTTGTGTTGACAACATACAGGAACCTAAACTTCAGATGCAAAGCATACATTTGAGTGTGGGACCATCTCCCTCCACAGAGGAATAAACAGAATTAAATCTTTTTCCCATTAATGCCAGTAATAGGTCATATTTAGTATTAAAATTCCAACAATTTTCTTAATGTGCATGACAACTCTATTCCTCAGAACTGTTCCTAATAACATTTCACTCAGCTGCTCTTTCCACCGCTCCGCTGGCAGCCAGGCCCACAATTAAATTTTCAAACCTTTAATAAGTGCTGCAGTTTGCTCTGTGCTTACATATGGTTTATTAAACATTATTAACACTGAATTTCTTCCTCTCCAGCAAACCTCAATGACCTGCCCGTCTACGTGAGGGTGTTGTTACTGAGATACTTAAGTGGCCTGTGCCAACCAAGGAGACCTGGGATGCCAAGTATAACAGTAGAAGGGTAAATATTTATCCATGCACCCTAATGGGGTGTCCCAGCCAAGCTGTGCTACCCCAAATGGGGTTTTACACCATGTTCTTACACCCTTCAAACCTTCAGGTACAACTCAATTGGACTTGTTAGTCAGTCACACCCACCCTACCAATTACCATAACATTACAGTTTATAATGTGAACCACTATATATCAAACAAATTAATACACTTTCATCCCCTAAGGACTGATTGGGATAAGAGTCAGAGAAAGGAATTTGTATAACAGTGACCACCAGCAGACCCCACACCAATGCCAGAGACTCCTGTGCAGGGACAGACACTTGAGCAGTGCTCAGGGCAGGCCTGGGAGCAACTCCTGTGCCATATTTCACGTGTCACACAAAGACTGTGCCGCAAGAAATGTCTTAGGAACACACAGGTTTGAAATTATCACATGCCAAGATGTTATCAAAACTATTTAGGAAAATGTACAGGGTCAGCAATGAACATATACATCAAAGACACAGAGCCCTGAAACACAGGACATGCCAGAAGAAGCAGGATTTTAAATGAACCAGCTATTATGGTTCATTCACTGGCTTTTTATGTTTAATTCAATATAATGTTCTGGCGGGGAAGAAGAATTGATAGAAATTCTCAGAAGGTATTTCACAAATGATGCAAAAAAAATTTAGAGAAGAATGAAGCGTCTGATTAAAGGGGTTTTGGTGGATTTGAGATGTGGAATCATTTCTGCATAGCTCTTCAGAAATTCTGGGGTTAAAAGGAAGAATAACTTTGGAAAGCTAACAGGCCCATGCAATAATTCTTTCTCGTGTATTTAAAATTCCTTCAGGTGCTTTGCATTTACACGCTTACATGCGTGGTATGTAGAGATTTTGTGGTTCATATTATATCAACAGACACTTAAATTCCAAATGTTTGCACCTGCATTCAGAAGTTCTGTGCTGTGAACTATGATTAAGGGTGACAGGCAGAAATTTTTGAAGGAAGGTTTCTTGTAACCCCCCCCAAAGGGGCTTAGTGAGCCTGTCACAACTTCTATATGACAATTTATACATCTTCTTTTTTCTTTCTGCCTTTCCCAGGTGTGTGAAGGACCCAACCTGCGGGAGTTCATCAGCCCAGAGGCCTGTCCAGTTCCACTACAGAGGTCCTGTCTCCCCGAGGGTTTGCCTGCGGTGCAAAGTGTCCGGGTGCATCGTGCGCACCGACCCTCCCCATCACCCGCCAGGCGGGGCATTCCCTCCTCCTCCCCGACCCTTCCCAGGCCACAGACCCCCTCCTCGTCCTCTCCATCCCTTCCCAGGCCACAGACCCCCTAATCGTCCTCTCCATCCCTTCCCAGGCCACAGACCCCCTAATCGTCCTC